GAACGTAATGACTTGCCGTTACCATATTACGTACTGAGACTCTGACTGAGCAGGAAAACCAGTCACGTGGGAAGGGCCGGACTCAGCAACAACTGCGACGACAGCGGACATAATGGTCGCGTAACTACCAAGCCCACATCCAACACCCATGAAGAAATCGCAGCGCTAAATGACTCGGAAGCGGACTGCCAAGCCATTATCACACTAATTACGATCCCCTAGTAGTGATTACGGCAGCTGCTAATTAAAGTGCGCATACGGTCGCTTGGCCGCTACGAACTAGAAATACTACTACATATATCGCCCTAATCTGTGCGTTAATCCCCCTACTCTGCGGTTATCTCTGATGAAGGGTTCAATACAGACTCCAAACCATCAAAAAGTAAGTCTCTTGTTCCAGTACTGGCATCTTCTACTCCTGTACTACTTCCTGGAACTCGCCTGTCCGCTTCCGTAAGCTTTAACTGCTATCAGAACGAAAAACCTGTCCATGGGAATTCCTCGATATCCTCAATTTTTCTCACATTTAGCGAATAGTAGAGATGAGCATTGGTTAGTCTATTGGCTGCTAAAAAGAGCTGCCAAGAGTTCGCGCGAGAAAGGTGGCATCTGCGAGAGGACCGATAATTAGCAGCGGTGGCGCCTGTGATCCTAGTTTAGAAAGAAGTTAGCGTGTTTGTATCATGTTAGGCAGTTCACATCCCATTGTCTCCTTCTTGATGTGGCCCTTATGGTGTATTATTCAGCGGGAGCCGGCCACACCTTTAAGTGGGCAGTGGCCAAAATTAACAAAAGTAATGACAACCGCGTAAGTCGCGCACTGCTTGCTTTAATGCCTGACAGTCAATCAATAAACGCAATTACCGTTCACTTGCATGATCTTTGCCGAGACTTCGGATAGACAGATTAAGCGGCCACGTAGGGAGGACGTGGCCGACCAACAACGCGGGCATTTGAAATTGAGCCGTCATTTTTTTTCTACCCTCCATTCGCATGGAAGTTTTCTTATATATGTGTGCATCGGTTTGCCCAGTACGCCCATTAGAAGCCGATTTTTATCCCTCATTGTTTATTTAAACTACAGCAGTGAGGTCGTCTGCGCATGATGCTAGCGCCAATTTGAGCGAAGTTAAATTTGGCTTACATTCTGCAACGTGTTCAAGGACATTTCTCCATGATTTCGACAGTTGTGGTTTATGTGCCTGACTAGTCGTGAGCAGACGTTCTGTAACATCCAAGCTACAGATAGATACTGTAGTAGGCCTATAGGTAGTTTCTATAGACGGCAAACTGCACAACATAAGGGCATGGTACGACTTGTACATTACTTTACAAACGTTATATTATTATCCAACTAATAATCACTATTACCTCACAGATTAGGAGTGCATACTGGGTGCGACTTCTTAAAAAGCAGACACAGGCAGTACTTATAGCATACTATCTACAAGCCTTAGTAAGCATGACTACTAGAAATTAGCACTTTTAGCATAGGCACGTACCTATGGCAGCAGTATCTTAGGCCACACAGCTCCATGAATAGAGTTCAGAGTGCGAAAACCAAAGCAAACGCTGCTGTGCTCAGGACCCCAAGCATATATTTACCCGGAATAGTAAATCCAGATTCACACACCTTGTTGAGACCAAGGGGATATGAGCCCTGGCGTTGGCTTACTCAGCGTCACCTCTGACAAATGGTGCCGTCAGTACCAGCACTAGTACTACCGCACTTCTTGCAGAGATTGAGGGGGTATGAGCCCAGTGCTGACTTTAATCAGTGTCATTTCTGAACTTAAAAACAGTCAGTGATAGTATCAGCGAATACTATCACTTAGCTACACCCTAGTAAGTAGTATTAGAAGTAGCAG